ATCGTGATCGTTCCGGACCAGTTCTGTGATGGCTGCAGTCCAATCGCCCGTCTACCTCCAAGTTATCGCTATCTCGCCATTGGAATCCGTCACACTTAGGCAAAATGGGAGTCGGTATCATAAAAGTTGAACAGCCACGTCACCAAAACGCGTTGGAAACATTGTAGGTATTCATCCAACAGTTACTAACTACCATAATCAAGTCATGCCAAATAACACTTAGGCGTGAGCCGTGCGTTACAGGATCTTCCACTCGATGGCTTGACCTGAATGTGCGAAGTGGCGAGGCGGCATAAAATGAGCAAGTAGTCTACTAGTCTAGCTAGTGGTCCTGGATTGGGCAAACTATAGGTATTGTAGTGCAGCTGGAGCTAGACAAGAACATCCAAACGATACTATTACTTAGTTGTCTATGCTTGGGGGGATGCAATTATGCGACGGCACCACCATGTGCCAGATCCGCGAGGAGACTTCAATCCACGAAAGATGAAGACCCCCAAAAGCATCAAAAAAGAAGACCAACGCTAACTGTATCGAGTCTGTGAACCGTGTGCACCGGTACCGTAGCCCTGTAAGAATGTCCATGATTGATACCTTTGCTGCATGTACTTACCCGACCACTATGCATACCTGGTATACTCTATTTATTTCAGCCGAGTGGCTCGACTCTGTCGAATCGACGTCCCAGGTGCTATGCGGTAACTAGAAACTAATCGCAAGCCACTTCGTCCTTGGGGAGTTCATGGATGGATGAACACCCATGCCACTGCATCCGACGGCCTTTGTCGACACTGCATTCTTTTGCCAGTTCACATCTACGGCGGAATGTCAACAAGCTCCATTAGAATTCCGAATCGTCATGATTAAGTCGGAAAATGTAGATACCGAGATGTGTCCCGCTCCGGGAGAGGGAGTGAAGCCAATAGGGGCACAAGCAGCCAGCTGCTGGTCCAGAAATATCCCTGGATACCTTAGCGAAGGCTCGAGCTGTTGGGTATAATTCTGAAAAGAGCTACTCCAAAGGACTTGCACCGACAGATCCGGGAACGCCTCTTTCATTTTGTTTTCAATGCTCTCTTGGACTTTTGGCAGCAGGAACTGTGGCATGTCTGTGGCAATAAACAGTCCAATCTCGACCAGCCGTTCACTCGTAGCAGATTGTTCTTGTCGTCGTCGTCCATCCAACCACTGCCGTATATTCTCTGTACTATTCCCCAAAACTTTGCGTACGGTTTCCCAAATGACTTTCCGAAACGCCCAAGGACCATCTCCGGCCCGCACGTGAAGCGATGCATATGTCAAGTTGTTCCATACGTGCTCTCGGATGATTCTTGCCGTGTGACGAATCTCGTCGTTGTATCGTAGCCGAACAGGGTTAGGCATCATGCTGGGGTGCAAGTGCTGGAAGGAGTCCAATAGAGTCCACATTTTGAAGTGTTTTCCTTCCACGGCAACCTTGCGAATATCCTTGTATGTTGTTGTTGTGACTTCTTGACCATTTTCATTAGTTTCGTCCGTGACCTGGGTATCTTCCAAATCTGGTCGATCGAGTACAAACATCGTGTTTGGGCGACTGTAGTTTGTCTCCAGCACCCAGGTGGATATATCCTTCGTCCACTGTTTACTAGCGACAAATTCTTTGTAATCAATTGTGGTCACATTGGGGAATGTGTATTCCATATCCAAAATCTTGTCGACGGCAATATATTCCTCCGGCCGAACGACTCGCATATACGCCTTTCTCAAGTTGTATCCCACGTCAAACTCTTGTTTATTGTCCTTCATCAGTCTGTTGTGATCTCCATAGATGCGCCTGTTGGGCAGTACGGGTGATGTCACGAGGACTCTTCCGGTTGCCTTGGCAATGTAGTAGGCACTCATGTAGCTTCTCACTTGATTGGACCACCCGGATCCAGAAAAGTGTTGAAGATAAAGGAGGGAATCATCTTCTTGCTTTCTCTGCTTTTTCCCTCGTTTCTTGCGAGGATTGGCAACGGATATCACTTCTTCATTTCTGGCTTTGCTTATGTCAATTCCGGGGGTAGCTGGATCTTCCGTAGAGACAAGATGTCCGTCTCCAAGCAATTTGGTATCTTTCGTATTCGTCTTCTCCAAAGCCCGTGTAGCCTCCTGAAAAGCACTATTGTTTCGTTCTTTGAGGCTCGGGCGTTTTGCATTCACTGGCAACACGTTGCTTTCGCGTCCATCATCGCCGTTGCCGGTGGTTTCAGCAGCTGTCGGGAAACTATCGGAAATGTCACCATGATCCTTGCTCAGACGGGAAAACTGTCGAATCAGGAAGAAACATCCCGACAAACCAAGGAGATAAAACAAGGCATGGCGTCGATTGAAACCTCTCATGGCCTTGCGGTTGGCCTCTTCATCATCTTACCCATCCACCTTTAGTTAGAAGCTGATGGGAGCTGTGCTCTTTGCTTTGTTGTTGCTTGTGGTTTCAAAACCGTGTCAAGGAGCGGAAAAATGCAACTCTATCTCTACTGTAGGTAGTATCTTCTTTTGAGGGCGGGTCGAGTTCTTTGGCGTAAGAACGTTCGTCGGGGTGCAGGTCGGGACGTGGGTGTGATGAGATTGGCCTGACAACTGGAGCGAACCATACAAGAACCTCGTTCCAGCTATCCGAGCTCCGAGTCAGCAAAGGTGGCCCGGAACAAGCAGAATTTGAATGGAACAAATACAGGAAATAGTACTTTAGAAAAGCAAATGGACAGTCAAACCTGAGTGCTAGCTAGTAGCTCTACGGTACCGTCTTGAGAAATCCTTGTGAATGCATTGTACATGTACGCTCCCTGGCTAGTTGCCTTTGCCACTACTGCATTTCCAAGCAGAACATGTTCCAAAAGGAACCAAGCGGTGTCGAATCTCAGTTATCAGGTGCTTGGAGCTTGGGAGAGCAACCTGGGAGTTGAATCTAGCTAGAGGCAGCCAAGTGAGTTTGTCTTCGTCCCTCGCAACATGATTGTCCTCCTTCTGTTTGCCAGTCCTGCTGGCTGCTGGAGTGGAATCTTCAAGTGTCGGTCACAGATTCGCTTTTCGATGACACCAAGCCGTGGGAACAATTCCATTGTCTATCGGTTGATCCAACACTGCTCTGCCACAATCAAGCAAGGAATACTAGTAGTTCTACTGCAGCAAGGTAGCTTTGGGAAAGAAAAGACTGTTTTATTGTTTGGAGAAGACGATGACCGATCCCGCCGTCATGATGAATGGCGCCACACATGAGAGAACCAATGGCGCTGAAGAATTCAATGGAAACAATGATGATGATGGTGACACACAACTCCGCTTGAGCATGTCGAATATCCAAGCCGACACGATCCGCAAAGTCCTGACGGCCGTCCAACGCCACGAACGAGAACGCATTCAAGAAGGTTTTAATGAATGGAATTTTGCAGCCGGTGTATTGAATACCATGTTGGTGGCGTACATTTTTGGGAATTTTCCAGAACATTTTTGGTTGTTGTGGTTGCTGGAAGCCGCTGCTTTGATTCCTCGCAAGATTTGGCAAGATTGGCACGCATTGCCATTGCGGCAGATTTTGTATTACGTCGATTATTGCTGGGTCATGACCTTTGTCATTATTTTCTCGCTCTACTTTTTGTGTGTCAATTGGACGCCACAGTTTATGCCGATTGAAATTCCCTACGAATGGCGCAAAAACATGTATTTGGCCGTGTTGGGCGTGGGATGTGGACCGCTGCTGGGCGCCACAGCCGCCATGCCCTTTGTGGCCATGGTATTTCACGACAACAAAATGATGACTTCGCTGTTCATTCATGCCACTCCTCCCATGCTAGTGTACTCTTTTCAATGGCACGCCGAAGAAATTGTTCAGGCATGGCCGTCCTTTTTTCGATTGGAAGATGTAGGACCCGCCGAAGTCACCTTTTTCCCGCCCGACAAGGGCCCCTTCTTTTGGCCCGGACAAGGACTGGGCACGGTGGCGGGCAATGCCACTGCCTTGTACTGCATCTGGTTCATACCCTACTGTACATGGATGTCCTGCATGGGACTCGATTTGACACGCAAAGTGCGACGAAAAAAGGGATCGGATGGACTGCCATTGCCCACCAGCAAGTACGATACGGCATTTCATAGCATTTTTCGAGATGGCATCCACGAAGGAATGGGATACTACTTTGGACGATCACCCGAAGAAAGTCGACGACAACAAACCGAGGGAGATTACCGAACCAGAGATTTCTTGGTCATTATGATCATGCATGCCATTTGTGTGTGGCTCGCCACCATGATGGTCGCCTACGTTTGTTTGCTCAGCAAAAAGATACATGCGGCATTGCTCTGGTTGATTATAGTCCTTACCGTCTTTCGAGGAGCACAACAATACGTCTATTGGGTCACTTCCATGTCCAGCAAGGCAGTGCAAGAAGAGTTTGCCGAAATTCTAAAAGATGTCGAAGGAATCAATATTGACAATCATGACAACAACAACAACACAAAGAAGAATCAATGAATGCAATCAATCAATCGTCATCAAGGTTTCAATACTTGACAGTTTCCTTCATTGTGACGATGTCATGACCATCAATCGACCTTGTGTGCTCTTGAGATTGAAGATTCGTGGCGTCACGTACTGGTACGACAATTACCCTGACAACTGTGTGTTGTAAATCCACTACTAGAGAAATCATCAGCAACAACGAGAAAAAGAATGAAAATCCTATTCGAACTTTGCATACCTCTCTGTAGGCGCTTGGGTCCGAGACATGCTCCTGCGGGGGGCAGAAACTGTATGGGCTGTTTCGACCTGCAATCATACGGGTGCCTTGCCCAGCACCTCAGGGTACCGTAAAGAACCGTACGAAAGTAATATATTGGTAGTTCCACCATATTTCTGGTAGAATCGAAATTTGAAGGTTTTCCTGGATTGGCTCCACTCCAGCAATGACAAAAAAGGAGAAAGGATTGGTCTGGAAATTTGAACCTGCTGAAAAGGTTCTATGATTCGATTCACAGATAATATGGTCTGTGCGGCCAGCATCTTCTATGCATACTGGCAGTTCAGAGGGACTAACAATCCTTATGGCTGCTTCGGAAGATTGATTGGTTTTGCCAATTTCAAAAGGTTTACCCCAACCCCCGACATGCACAGAATGATTGCATGCAACATCAATGCGTGCATGAGCATGCGCAGGCATGCTTGGTGCAGGAAGCTGTGGGAGTTGATCGTGCAACAATGCACACTGGCCCAAAATATCGGAACAGGCATGCACTGCTCCGCTCCCAGTTGGACCCATCGTCGGGTTCCTGATGATCAAGCCTCCGAGTATTCTCACAAAAACAAAAACGACAAAGCAACAAGCACAACAATACTCAGAAGCAGCCAACGAACCAACAATGAGCATCTCTGTTACCTTCAACCTTTTCGCCAGCATTATGATCTTCGCGACGCTTCTCTCCGGCACATGCCAGGCCGCTGGAACTCGCGGAGCTCCCCGCCAGCTTCAGGCGTGTGAACAAAACCTTTCTATCGAGATCGTCTGCCACGAAGAAGGATGCGGGTTGTCAGCAGAAGCGCCACCGTCCGCAATGAATGTGGGAGTGGATGTTCGAATCCAGAAGCTGAACCAGGCTACGACGTGGACGTTGAAGCGAGTGACAATGGCAACCAGTGGTCTTCCAGCCTTTGACGATCTGCACATGGAACCCGGTCAAGACATCCAGTTTGAGAATCCCACCGTCTTGGACTGGTCTGTGGAACTCAAGGCCAATGACAGCGATCACTTTTATGCGCTGGCAACGGCCACAGCAGAATCGCCCACAGGAGACAAGTGTGTCGTGAGCGCCACCTACGAGTACTTTGTGTAGTGCTTTCCGGACGAATTGCTCGCCTTTTCATTTCTAGAATAGAGAAACATAAAATAAAATGAATTGATAGACCACCAACGTAAAAAACAGAAAACAACACAATGACTTGCGGCACAACCGAGACAACTCCGGCAGAGCTGCGCGCAACGTCAACAGTCAAGCAAATTTCTATCTTCCGTAACCGGATTAACGCTGAGTGTGCAGATTGGTGGGTAGATGAACATGGGTGGAGTTGTGATATCTTCAGCAAGGCGCAACGAGTACTGGCGAAGCAATTCTTAGAAACCTCCGAAGCCGCCGGGTTGACCACCCATTTGGCCTCCTTGTCCGCCCATCATGTTGTTGCCCCCTTGTCCGCCCATCATGTTGCCTCCTTGTCCACCCATCATTTGTTGGGACATCATCATCATCTGCATCATTTGTTGCTGCTGTTGGGGGGTCATCTGACCACTTGCAATCATTTGCTGCATCATTTGAGGGTTTTGCATCATCATCATCATCATTTGCTGGTTCATAACTCCTGCTGGCATTCCCTGTTGCTGCTGCTGCGGTTGTTTCTGGGGAATCATGGCCTGAGGATCCAACGCTCCAATCAAACTGGCATTTCCACCTCCACTGCCCATGACATTTGGGTTAATTCCTCCGGAAGCGGCTGGAGACGACATTCCACCACCCATACCCATGCCACCTCCCATGGCCATTCCCATGGGGGCAGCAGCAGGGGTCTTTTGTAATCCATCAATTCCAGCAAATGACATGGCGGCACTCCTCGCAGCGTCCTGGGGTGCCGCTACACCAACGCCGTGTTGCTTATCTTGCATATATTGCGCAGCTGCTGCGTTGGAAATGATGGGCTGTTCAAGCTTATTTTCCTTTTTGGGATTCTTGGACAATCCGTCCAACGAAACTAGCGAACCAAATGGATCGGACGACTTGCTACTTGCGGCAGCAGCAGGTGTCGAGGCAGCCATTCCTCCCGATGCCCCTTCAAAATCACCAAAGTCATCATCGTCGGCTGGGGGGGCTGGAGCCGCACCACCACCCATCATTGGTGCGCCACCCATCATAGCTCCGCCCATGACATTATTGTTGGCGCCAATCATGGCATTGTTGTTGTTGGCGCCCATCATTCCTCCTCCCATCATGTTGTTGTTGACGCCCATCATGTTGTTATTGGCCATCATGGGATTATTCATCATGCCACCGGCAGCAGCGCCACCGTCCATGCCCATGTTTCCAAACATGTTCGTCATGTTATTCATACTGGTTGGTTGAGATTGTTGCGGCGCTGCAAACGGATCAGGTTGCTGCTGCTGTCCTCCCACGGCGCTAGTACTAGTGGGGGCACTGGCAGGTGCAGCCGCAAATGGATCACCACCAAAGGGATCGGCGCCACCGCCTCCCGAAGCGGATTGGAATCCAGAAAAATCATCATCCGCCGCTGCCGCAGCAGGAGCTGGGGAATCGTCTCCAAACGAGAACAGATCTACATCTGTAAACGAAACAAAAGAATTAAAAATGAGCGCCAAATAAACCCACATCCCCATTTCTTCCCAAAACACGGCCAATTCATTTTCTCCCGAACAAACTTACCAGGAGCCGGAGCCGGGGCCGGTGAGGCAGCAGAGGGAGTGGGGAGCGGGGCCTTCTTTTTCTTAACCTTCTTGGTTCCAGTTTTCTTCTTGGGCGGCACCTGAGCAAACGTAGGTCCTGCTGCTGCTGCTGCTGCTGAAGTTCCTCTATCATCGTCATAGCGCCCTCTGGCATTGCTTCCACTATCAATACCACCTTGTGCATATCCGCCGCCACCTCCGCCCGAATTCCAATCATTACCTCCTCCACCCGAATTCCAATTGTCTCCTCCACCTCCTCCTCCTCCAGTATTCCATCCATCTCCACCCGAATATCCAGTGCCACCACCACCACCGGCCGCCGTGGCATTTTTTCCTTGGAATTTTTCGCGCAACTTGCGTGCCTTTTGTCGTTCTTCACGGATGCGTTCGTTATCACTGAGCATTTCGACCAACTGTTTGGATTTTTCACGAACGCCCAATCCTCGATCAATGGTGCCTTCGTAGTAATTGAATTGATGCAATTTTCGAAGGACGTGTCCGTGATTGCGGGCATCGTCGACGCATCGTTCGCTGCCATTCTTGACGAGATGTTCGCAGAGTGTCAGTCCCTTGAAAATGACCCGCCAGGCCGAAGGACGCTGCGTCTCGATATTTTCCCACATGATGCGGGTGATAATGGCAAACTTTTCGTAATCCCAGGTATCACGGGCAATCTGGTTCATGATGGAACTGGCAGCGCCCCAGTTTTTGTGGGACAGTACTTCGTAGACACGAGCTTCCACATCGGTTTTGGGTTTCACTTGATTCAAACTGGAAAGTTTAGTGACCAGATAGTATTATCAAGTCAGCAAGTCAGCGATAATGGGGGTATTTCGATGGGTAGCAGGTAGAAGACCAGGCATCATAGTAGAGACACAGGCGGGTAGCAGATGAAGACGGCATGGGTATACGAAAAGATAATAGAGTCAGATGGGAGAAGGTCAGTCAGTCAGTTGCAAGCAAAAGAGATACCAAGAGAAGAAGAGAGAAGAAGACCAGCATTGGCGCCGTGACAAGTGAGAAACTCGCCCGTAGAATCCACGTAGGCCTGGTACAAAATCCAGCGTCACCCTCCGATAACTTACGCATCCTCGGCAGCATTGCGAATCTTATCGATACTCAGATCCTTCAACAGATCCATGGTTCTTCTCTTATCCTTCTACTAAACTAGCTAGTAATAGAAAACACTTGCTTGTGGTTGTCTTGGTTGCTTCTTCTTTCACTCGGATAGTTACTTCACTGGGATGCCAAAGTCGAGGCAGCAAAGTTGTGGTCCTGTCGTCAAGATCTGGCAAGCTGGAGGCATCCAGTCATTGGCCATCAGTCACCTCTGAATGATGCCAAGATCAGAGTTGGTCGCGCAAAGCATTATCAGCTTTGTTGGCTAAACTAAAAAGTATCACAGCTCTGTTGCTTTAATTTCGTCTCCTGGAGACGATTTGCTTTAGGGGTAATGGTACCGATGGGGGCAGAGGTTTGAATTATACCCGGCGCGCATTACTTAGAAGGCCCTGTAGAAGTCTACGTATTCGACTAGTATTGTATTGACGGGATACAGTCAACGCATGTACATGCACATGAAAGTCGCCTTGCGTTCTTCACATTTTAAAAGTTGGCTCCTAATTTTTCAGGGTCGCCTGTGATTTGATTGGACGCTTGATCTTTTTTCAATGACTGACATTGAATGACGTACGAGGTGCAATGCGAATCTCAGAAAGGTAGTTGTAGTAATAAAAGTTTTTATATACAGATTAA